TCGGTATTTCTTCCAACGCACCGTTTATCCGCAAAACGTATACTGAATGAGAACTGGGCTTAGGAGGCAGAGAAACGCCTTCTTGTATATTTCAACGGTCTTCCTTCACCAGGGAGTCCGGGGAACTCTCTCTGTTTTACGTCTCTCCTTCGCTTTCTTCTCTCTCTTGAAAGCAAAAAAAAACGCGTTGCTTACTGCCTTTATTTTTATTTTTTCCTGGACTTTCACACTGAAGGTCTGGCTAAAGTTTATTTTCTAACAGTTGTTTGTCTTACATTCGGCCATATTCACCTCAAGCATTCCCTTGGAGATGCAGGTTCAATAACTTCAGGATATTGGCAAGAAATTTAGTCTTCTTTCAGTGTGGCAATACACGGGTTATTTCACATCCATTGATAAATCCCGTTTATTATTGACTCAAAAATAGCATACAACGCCAAGGTAACTGATGCCGACGCTTCGGTCTGTATCTATCACGTACATCTCAAGGTAAAATTGTTGGGGCGCGGTGGTACAACGGCAGGCAGGTAGTACGTTTTGAACTCAGGAAGTAACTGAGTTCTAATTTCAAAAAATACTTAATCGCTTCAAAGGCTACGATTCGCCGTTTATCGAATGTCATATTCAGTAAAACGCATATTCTCTATTGTTGTTCTTGATAGAATTCTAGAGCTCTTTGGGTGGTCAGCATAATTCATGCTTTTGAAGCCCCTCGGTTCAACGCAAGAACCAATACTTGTTCTTTAAATATTTATCATTGGCTTAAAGTGTTCGAATAATAAAGCAGTGATTGGCGAGAACCAGAAAATCATCTTATACGTTCAAAGTACAGTTTAAGAAGGATACTTTGAACACAATCCCGAGCCGATGGACTGGTATCCTATGTGCGTATTTATCTTTGAAAGAAACACAGCGAAGCATCGATCCCAATATTCCACTGACATGGGATGACGCTCTCCCGTTTGAATGCAGGTCATGACAATGAAAGGAACAGTTAAGACAGGAACGATGGCCTTTATTGATTGCATCTTAGAATTGACGCCTCGAAGTAGAACCAAATGCTCAAAGGGAGTAGTGGTTTTGAAGATCCCGCTGGTGGCGCACGTGCCGTGAAGTGTTGAGCGCTGTGAAAACAGAGGAATGACTGACAGACGTTCTCAGTGCGAAATCCGACGCCCACGCATGCGCAGAGCTCCAGAGCAACCAAATACATTATCTATGAATATCATCATCATCACAGCAGCATTTCACAGCTCTCTTCGACCTTGACTGTTCGTTGAACAAACCGGCACCCAATCTAACGCGAAAGCTCCACAGTTCCCCACAAACCCGAATACTATTCAAAGCTGACGGTCATTCAACAACTAGAACGCTCAGGTTTAAACGCAGAATTCATTCTGGCAAAACGACCATGAGTTAATCGCAACGTCTCTTAACCTAGCAGAATTCAAGAGTGCCACATAAATAACTGATTTACGGTCCCATCATAAAGATGCCCTATATCTATCCGCAGGACCGATGCCAGGGCCGGATTTGTAAAACCACACCATACACACAAGTGGCAATACAAGTTTCTGTACCAATGTGCGATTGCCGCTCTTTCCATCAGACAAAGCGAAGTGAAGAAGTTCGAAAGGGGAATAACGGTGCAGAAGACCGGCTTCGCCGCATACAAGTCGAAATTATAGACATTCAATTACAGTCATCGTCGCCATAAGCAAGGAGAGGAACACAGAAAAAACTCTGATGTCCTGTGAATCCGAA